TATACATATATAATAATATATAAATCTATCTATCTATCTATCTATCTATCTATCTATCTAAACACTATTATGTATATATTTATATTTACTATTTTATACTATTTATACTATTTTATTAATTTTTTAGTCATGCAATATAAGTTTTTATTTTTTGACTCTCTAATTCCGACTTTGTCCTTTTCCAATCATAGCCCGTCACACATGCACATCCACACACACCCCTGTCCTTTTGTCACCAGGAAACCTGAGCTGCTGCTAATTGTGGTGCTGGCAGGATGCCGTAGCCATTATGGGCCGTCATGTGCAGCGGGCTCTCGTAGAGAACTGTGGCTAGATGAGCTGCCACTGCACCACAGTGTGGACGGCTGCCAAGCCAGGTAAAATAGATATACATTTATTTACATTTTATATATAAAAAGTATATAAAAAGCCAATTATGCATTATTATATATTTATACAATTTTTATTTTATTTGATTTAATATTTTCTATCTATCTATCTATCTATCTATCTATCTATCTATCTATCTATCTATCTATCTAAACACTATTATGTATATATTTATATTTACTATTTTATACTATTTATACTATTTTATTAATTTTTTAGTCATGCAATATAAGTTTTTATTTTTTGACTCTCTAATTCCGACTTTGTCCTTTTCCAATCATAGCCCGTCACACATGCACATCCACACACACCCCTGTCCTTTTGTCACCAGGAAACCTGAGCTGCTGCTAATTGTGGTGCTGGCAGGATGCCGTAGCCATTATGGGCCGTCATGTGCAGTGGGCTCTCGTAGAGAACTGTGGCTAGATGAGCCGCCACTGCACCACAGTGTGGATGGCTGCCAAATTGAGCTCAGCAACCTCTTTGGTGTGCCCTTTGGGTCAGCTTACACAGCAGCGCACCGTTCTGCTGAAATCCCTGAATTAATGCAGAGAGGGAAGAAGAGGGGGAGGAATGACTCAAGCAAAAAAGGAGGTACACAAAATGGTGCTCACTTTTATTTCCTGTGTCAGAATGGGGCAGTCCAACACAAGGGGGTTTATAAATGGTGGTGAAATGTGAGAATGTTTGGGGGGAGGGGTGACAGTCCTGTCCATGTCATGTGTTCACTTTCATTCATTTGGTGGTCTTCAAACAGACTTGGGTCCAATAATGCGCCCCTTTCTTTTAGGTTCAGGATATTTCAGTCTCTGGGTTGTGTCAGCTCTTCACTTTTTGACCTTGCCCTGGGCGGCCACAGCCTCCATGGCTTTGCGCACTGTTTCCTCGTCTCCCAGGAACTGCATGGGTTTGATGGGCTTCAGGTCCTTGTCCAGCTCATAGACGATGGGAATGCCTGTGGGCAGGTTAAGCTCCATGATGGCTGCATCTGACATGCCTGTAGACACAGGTGAACATCTTGTCACATATATACACTGAGGTTTCAAAGCCTTGACCTTTCCTTGACCCCTGTGACCTTTACTTTCTACAGTGCATCACTCTCTAGGGAAAATGCAGAACCTTTCTGCTGAAAGGTTGTGCCTGTAACAGAAACCTCCTAATCTCTTCTATGTATAAATGAGGGCTATAAATAGTCTCTGTATCATCTGGGATCATTGAAGCATGGTGGTCAGACACGTTATGTGTTTCTGAATGCTATATGTTTCTGTTCCTGTCTTGTTCCTTGATATGCTCAGCTAACTTGCAGTTTTATTATATAACACATCACTCGCCCTAGTCCTTAAATAGTCTTTAAACTAAATGCTTGGTGGGATGATACTCACTCTCTAAGTGCTTGACGATACCACGGAGGCTGTTGCCGTGGGCTGCTATTATGACATATTTATTTTTATTATATACTAATTATATTATAATATACAATATATCTTATAAAATATATTATGATTATAATAAATATATATATATATGTGTGTGTGTGTGTGTGTCAAATTTACTTAATATTTTTAATATTTATCTTTTGGGAATGCCTGTGGGCAGGTTCAGCTCCATGATGGCTGCATCTGACATGCCTGTAGACACAGGTGAACATCATGTCACATACATTGAGTTTTCAAAGCCTCAACCTTTCCTTGACCCCTGTGACCTTTACTTCCTACAGTGCATCGCTCTCGAGGGAGCATGCAGAACCTTTCTGCTGAAAGGTTGTGCCTGTAACAGAAACCTCCTAATCTCTTCTATGTATAAATGAGGGCTATAAATAGTCTCTGTATCATCTGGGATCATTGAAGCATGGTGGTCAGACACGTTATGTGTTTCTGAATGCTATATGTTTCTGTTCCTGTCTTGTTCCTTGATATGCTCAGCTAACTTGCAGTTTTATTATATAACACATCACTCGCCCTAGTCCTTAAATAGTCTTTAAACTAAATGCTTGGTGGGATGATACTCACTCTCTAAGTGCTTGACGATGCCACGGAGGCTGTTGCCATGGGCTGCGATTATGACGTTTTTGCCGGCCTTGATCTCAGGTACAATAACCTCATTCCAGAAAGGCAGGGCACGAGCGATGGTGTCCTTCAAGCTCTCGCAGATGGGAAGCTCACCCTCTTTCAGACCCTTGTATCGTCTTGACTGGTAAAAGAGGAATGGAACATGATCGAACTTGCAGCCATGCCACCATCAGTTTTTACATGAGTGACATAAAAGTAAAGTGTCACATGCATGAATGAATTATGCCAGAATTAAAAGTATGAATAGTTTTATATATAAATAGTTTAACATTTATCTTGACCTGCTCCTCTCCATGCTTGGCTGCCGTCTCTGCCTTGTTCAGACCAGTCAGACCACCGTAGTGACGTTCATTCAGACGCCAGGTGCGCACTACAGGCAGCCACATCTGGTCTGTGACCTCCATGATGGTCCACAGAGTCTTGATAGCGCGCTTCAGAACGGAGGTGTAGCACACATCAAACTTCATGCCTGCATCTTTGATGGCTTGAGCACCACGCTTTGCTTCCTCCAGACCCTTTTCACTGAGGTCTGCATCAAACCAGCCACAGAAACGGTTCTCCTGGTTCCAGGAGCTCTCGCCATGGCGTACAATCATTAGACGATGAGCAGCAGCCATTTTGAAAGAATTTGGGTTTCACTACAGTATTTTCCAGACTAAACCCACCAAACACAGCCCTCCTTGCTGTTGTGCACACACTCTGTTACAGACAGTGAGCCCTGCGTGCCTATGCTTTGCTCTTTTTATAGCATTCCGGTATGTGGCCTGTCATATATGTCATATCTATTCAGCTTTGAACCAATCACAGTGTTCCACTTTCAGAATGACAGTTGAACTTACCTATTGACTCTCATTTGTAAGGGGGCGGACTGGATATCTATCTACTGCTCGAAGGGCAGAGGTCGTGAAGAGATTCAAAATAGCAACATGACTCTTAAACTGAGAAGTGTGGAATAAAAGTGCAAAGATCAGAGTAAGCCTTAGATCTCAGAGGCTAGAGGCCATCAGTAAACACTGTAGCTCAAATGTAGAGAGAGAGAATGTAGAGGCCACATAATGTAGAGTACATCAGGAGTTTCCAGGCTGAGGATTTAAGTATCCTGTTAATATTTTAATAGCTAGCTATAATGAACTTCTTAATGTCATAAAGTATTATGTACTGTATATAATGTTTTATTAAAGAAATTAACATATGTGTTTATGCAGCATTTATATGTGTCTGTTTACAATTAAAAAAAATAATTTAGTTTATTTGTGTTATATTATGAAGTTCATTATCACTAGTTATTAAAGTGTTAATGCTATTTAAACACTATTTAATCCTAATTTAGACACACAAACACACACACACACACATTAAGGGGGGGGCACACACATTAAGGGGGGCGGACAATTCAGTCTGCATTAGGAAAAACATTCACTTTTTGTTCATGTGTCATATTGTATGTACTACCCCTCATATCTAGCAGAGGCGATGGTGTGTTTCCACAGGTAAAGCACTGAAAATAGAGCTGTAACCATTCCTCACTTCTTTTCCAACCCCACGCCCACCTCCTCCCCTCTTCCTCTCTTCCTCCAGCTTTCATCTCTGTATCTGCAGTGGAAGCTGCGTGTTGTATGTATATATTTGAGCCATTTACATACCATAATTAGGTTCATAATTAAATAATATCTTAAAATAATGTGACGAGGCACAATGCAAAGCATGATTTGCTTAATTATAGCTTCTTATGCAAATAATGCCCTTGGTGGCAGTCACAGAGTGTATGAACGTATAAATTTAGCATTTTGTTTTATGATATTTTCAGAGTAAAAATCGAATAATTTCTTAACAAAATTATATTATATTCCTTGACATGCACATTCAACTGCACATAGCTCTCTCTCTCTCTCTCTCTCTCTCTCTCTCTCTCTCTCTCTCTCTCTCTCCCTCTGCTCATCTACACATATCTCTCTCTCTCTCTCTCTCTCTCTCTCTCTCTCTCTCTCTCTCTCTCTCTCTCCCTCTGCTATTGATACTGCATTGTCAGAGTTTAGAAAATCACTTGCGTCAGAGCTTCTTTCTGGCTATATAAGCTGCACTGACTGCGGTAGGAGCAGCAGATCAGTGTTTGAAGGCTGATCGAGCTGACTGTGGTACTGAGGCACAGAGCAGCTTGTCCTTTGGAGCCATGAGTGCCGTCGGGTTTGACCCCTACTACTCGTCCTCTTACAAGCGCTGGTATGTGGAGAGCAGCCCCCGGGTTTCTCAGCGTGGTCGTTCTCGCACCACGTTCTCTGCCCATCCCCCTTCTCTCTCCTCAAGCCGCCTCCACTATGCCTCCCCTGGTCGGACCTCCGCCGGTCTGCTGTTGAGCAGCCCTGGCCGCTCTGTGGACATGGACATCAGCCACGCCGCCCAGGTAAGCTCAGAAGTCCGGGCAGTGCGAACTCAGGAGAGGGCCCAGCTGCAAGAGCTCAACGACCGCTTTGCAGGTTACATTGAGCGCGTCCATGAACTAGAGCAGCAGAACCGTGCCCTGGAGGCTGAGCTGCTCCTGCTGAGGCAGAGGCATGTAGAGCCTTCCCGCCTGAGGGGCCTGTACGAACAGGAGGTCCGCGCTCTGAGAGCCGCCGTTGAGGAGGCCCGCATGGAGAGGCAGGCTGCGCTGAGCCACCGGGAGAGTATGGAAAATGCCTTGCGGAGCCTGCAGGCCAGCTACGAGGAAGAGGTGGTTGCCCGCGAGGACACCGAAGGCAGGCTTCTGGAGGCCCGCAAGGAGGCCGATGACGGCACTCTGGCTCAGGTGGAGCTGGAGAAAAAGGTTGATACGTTGCTAAATGAGTTAGCGTTCCTGAAGAAGGTCCACGAGGGTGAAATCTCAGAGCTGCAGGCCCAGATTCAATATGGGGCCCAGATCGCCATTGAGGCGGAGACTGCCAAGCCCGATCTGTCCAGTGCCCTACGCGACATCAGAGCCCAGTATGAGAAGCTGGCAGCCAAGAACATTCAGTCAGCTGAAGAATGGTTCCGTGGGAAGATGGGCCACCTGACAGAGAGCGTGGCGCACCACACTGACGCAGTGAGGAACTCCAAGGATGAAGTGGGAGAATATCGCCGCCAACTTCAGGCATGTGTCCTTGAGATTGATGCCTGCAAGGGCCTGAATGAGTCTCTGGAGAAGCAGCTCAGGGAGGTGGAGGACAAGCAGAGTACAGAGATTGCTGCCATGCAGGTTAGTGTTAGTAACCACAATTTTGGGTAATTTGAGTTCTCAAATCATTATTTTGACATCCATCCTTCCCCACAGGATGCAATCAGTGACCTTGAGGATGAACTTCGAGCCACTAAGAATGAAATGGCGAGATACCTTAAAGAGTACCAGGATCTTCTCAATGTCAAAATGGCCCTTGATATTGAGATAGCTGCTTACAGGTAGAACCACTAATATAAGGTCAGATTTTTGGATTAATGTCAATGCTTCCAATTCATCACATGATCTTTTCCGTTTTTTTTGCAGGAAGTTGCTTGAGGGGGAGGAGTCTCGCTTCAATGTGGGTGTGGGAGGTTTGGTTGGTGCCTACTCTGTTGGTCCTGTCTACTCCCGACCCATGTTCTCACTGTCAACCCTGAGCTCTGGTGCCCCCTACCTGTTTGGATCTCGCCTGGTTAGTGCATCCCTCTCAGCCCATGAGGCCATCACATCCAGTCAAGCTCAAGAAGCTGCTGCCAGTCCTACCAAGGAAGAAGAAGAAGAAGAGGAGGAGAAAGAGGAAGAGGAGGAAGTAAAGGAAGAGGAAGCGGAAGAGAAGGAGGAAGAAGAAGAAACAAAGGAGGAAGAGGAAGGTAAGATTCAGAAGCTGTTTTCGTAATTAAGAATAAGAATATTATACAATTCTAAATACTGACACGAAGTGCATTACTAAATTACTGTTTTGCATGACTAAATTACTGTTTTAAACAGGTGCTGAACAGGAAGAGGAAGCTGGAGCAGAGGAAGAGGAAGCTGCAGCAGAGGAAGAGGAAGCTGCAGCAGAGGAAGAAGAAAAAGGAGACAAGGAAGAGGAGACTGAAGAAAAAGATGATGTTAAAGGGGAAGAAGAGGAAGGAGATGAAAAAGAGGGAGATGGTAAAGAGGGTGAGCAGAAAGAGGGAGAGGAGGAAGAGGGAGAGAAAGGTGAGGAGGAGGAAGTGGCTGCAGAGGAGGATACTGAAGCAGAGAAAAGTGAGGAGAAAGCTGACACAAGTGCTGATAAGGCCAAAGAGGATACAGAGACAGACAAGGAAGACACTAAAACAGAAAAAGACAAGGTAGAGAAGAAAAAAGTTGAGCCTAAGGCTGAAAAAGCCAAAGAGGGAGTCGAACCTGAACCAGCCAAAGAGAAAGCCAAGGAGAAAAGTGAACCCGCACCTGAACCAGAGTCAAAGGATAAAGGGAAGGAAGAGCCAGAGAAACCCAAAGCTAAAGAAAAGGCAGAGCCAGAAAAGCCAAAGGGTAAAGATGAAGGTGAGAAAGGCAAGAGTCAGAAAAAGGAAAGTGTAAAGCAGGAAAAGGGAAAGGAGGAGACTGAGAAACCCAAGGGGAAGAAGTAATGAGTCTGATCTTTAACAGCACAAATACCAGTAGCCTGACCTGCTTCTCTAGTTCTCCTTCAGTCTGTAACTATCAACATGCCTTGATCAGTGGTGCTGAGAGCAAACTGCAATACAATGTTTGAAACCACAGTCAACTTTATCAGCGTTTAAAACATAATGATTGTCTGATGTTGCTGTTGATGATCTACATATCTGAGTGAATGTATGCTTGTGAAGTAGATTATATTTTTGAATGAAGCATCGGTCTTGCAATTGTAAAAAGTGAATATTTGCTGCCAGTACAATAAAAACATGCTTCTTGATGATCAAAAAGATTTGCTTTGATTTTTTAAATATTATTTGAGGGTGTAATAATTTTTAATAGTTTCCTTACTCAGAAGTTCTTTAATGTCTGCTTAATTTAATGGATGCCTTTAGATATTTAAAGCAAATTTGAAACTTAAATATGAAAGGTATGAATCTGCAACACTTTTAAGTGTTATACAAAAAAGGTTGTGAATGTAATAAAAAAAATGATGCAGAATTCCTAATGTGGGAAAACTTCATAAATAAAAAAATGCCAGTGAGACATTTATTAAAAGCTTTACGGATCATGTGACCTTTACTTAAACTGTTGCTGTATACACCTTTTTTTAAACACCAGTTTTTAAAGGTACCTCTGAAAAAGTAAAACTTTATTTATATAGAACATTTAAAACAGTGCTTTATATGTGCACATACAAATGTACATACATCAGGAGTTAAAATTGACAGTATAAGAATAAAATATGAGTACACAGAAAACAAAGTGTCAGATTGAAACCTGGGTCATGTTGCTGAAGACACTAAGTTCAATGTAAAATAGACAGTCATTACTGTCTGATAAATTTAGGATATTTCCTTTAAGAAGACTTTTCAGAATTTTACTTATTAGCAGTACATTAGATATAGTACAATATAATACAAACTACACCCAAATACTAGTGCATCTGTATACATTTCCGTATTGCTGTGCCCCACAACTTGTGCTGCACAAATAGTTCACAGAACTTGAGGAGCATTTTTTAATGAGTCCTTTGTAGCAGTATCAGGGAACAATGCCCAGGACTGAATATATAAATAATTACATTTACATTTAGTCATTTAGCAGACGCTTTTATCCAAAGCGACTTACAAA